GTTTAAAGACATATACATGATACAGATCTTCTCTAGTACAAATCAGCCTTGAATGTGTCCCCGATGTGTATTTATACCTCTTCTGACCCCAGCTTTACCGCAGGGTAAATTTCCATTTCAGCTGCATAATACAGCAAAAAATTGGATTGTCAGTGCTTCGCCAGATGTGAAAGACACTGAAAAATCCTTTTGAATCTGGTCCTTTATTCATAGTGTAAAATAGCTTCTCGCAGATCTACAGGGTAACTCAATTATGAGCCACATTCACGATAGCATTGCCTGCTGCCACATACCTCACATTCTCCAGCTTCTGTTATCAATGGCACACTGGGAGAGGTCCTTTACTGGCTCGCTCACGATTACATTCTTAAAAGTGTCTCATTTAGAAGAAAGGAAATGGGTGACAGTGGACAGCCCTGGCTTTTCCCTCGGGAGCCGTGTCAAAGCATGATGCCTTGTGAAGCAGTCAGTGCTGATGAAATAGACAGCTTTGCTCCAGTAAAAGAAACATGGGAAACTCGTGTGTCTTCAAGTAGCTGGTATTAGGCTGCAAAATGAAGCACTGCTCACAAACCTTGTAGATAATGGACGTCTTGGATTGTGGAGCAGCCGCCTCAGGGTCATTTCAAGCTCTCATGTTGAGCCCACAAATAGAGGGTAGAAGGGGATTTAGTCTTCTTTTAGAGATGGAGTGGAGGCTTAGACCACATGGAGCACACAGGATATTTCATATGTCCATGCCTTAAAGAAGCTTTAGACCCACGGACAAAGAAAACATTTGATTAGACTTGATTACAAAAAGAAAGTATTGATTGCTATTGTTAGCCTCAGCAAATCTGCAGTTTGTCTTTTCAAGACAGTAATACTTGATTGCACTCTGTGTGATTTTGTTTTAAAATCTGTTCTAGTTCAACCGTGCTAGTTTTTTATTTTTATTTTTTTTTTACAAATGCAGTCTCAAGTTTTGTTTAACTGTTTGAGAAAAAAAATTATAGCGTGGGGCTTTCCAAAATAAACATGTTTTTTTTTTTTAACCTGCTTGGTTAACCCCGGAAGTTGGCTAAAAATAGAGCCTTTGTTCATGCAGCTTTAGCAAAACGGTGCAAAAAAATATGTGCTTATCGTCAGCGAATTAGAAAAACAAGTGTAGCAGACAAGTGTCTTTGGCCTGCCAATGTGAGCTAAAACTGAACGACCCTCCGAGACTAAAGCAAGCCACCATTGCACCAGGTAAGACAAAGCAGACAGCGTGCAGAGACCACAGAGAATCCCTTATGAAGTGGCCTAGCCCTCGCCTCCAGCTGAGCCTTTTCATTGTGCTGTTGTTTCTATGGAGCTTGGATGGCAGTTTAGATTAGATCGCTCTGAGTAATGGATTTGAGCTGACGAAAACCTGCTGCAGCTCAACATCACCACTGCTAGGATCCCTGCTCTATGGAGGATCTGGCTGGTTTATTCGGATCAATTTGAGGCACCCTCATTGTTAATAACCCTGTGTATATTCATGCTAACATTGTTCTCTAATCTGTATTCATGCGAGTATTTCATTCAATCCCTTTGCAAAGCCAGGCCTAAATCCTTGCCAATCACATTTTGCTACTTCATAAATCTCCATTTGAATTTGTTCATTCAGTCTTCTTCAGTATTCTGAGTGAACCAGTCTGTTGGTCTTCTTCTTGTTATGTTATTGTTGCATTTACATTTTTGTATGTTAAGAGCTGAATAAAAAATGTGCATCTTGTGCAATATTTGTAATCAGTTACAAAATTTTAGTGTGATAAAATACAAAACCTTCTGCTCTATCAGACTGTTCAGGAACAATAGCAAAGATGACATTTTGAATGTTTATCTTCAAACTGAAAGACAAGCATGGATTTACATAAATGTAGGCCTTATTGAAATGAATAAAAAATGCCTTTTATAAGGTTGTTGAAAGAGCAGGGGGAAAAGAGCTGTGTTTAGTAACAGAAACCTGCTGGGTGGCCATTGTGGGGGGATGATGTGTTAATCGAGCCACAAACCGTGTGGTTTTTCAGGCCAGAGGTCTCATTTTAAAAGGCACGCAAAAGAGAAATGTATTTGAGCGGGGCCCCGCTGGCTGCTAGCCCTTGACTCCATTGCAGTAATGTAAATGGTGGATTAGGTGCAGTTATCCAAGACCCCCCTCAACCCCTCTTCAGTCACCTCCCCCCTCCTTCGCTTTTCCATTAAGACAGCTGGTATCTTTCAAAGGGTCTTGGCCCAGTGATTGATGTGTAATAGCTCCTAGCCTCACCTGCCCCCTCGCAGCATTATTCATCGGCATAGCGGCAACCAGTACTGCTTTCCACTAAAAGCTTAGTTTTTTTGAGTAGACCATTTTTCACACTTTCTGTTTTAGTTTGTCCTCTTCCAGTTATCAGTACAGAATGATTTTAAATACCACATAATTAGTTTAAAGTGTCCTTTTGTTTAGACACTTCGACTCTTTTTGGGGTATTAAAGACTAAAATGTTTCAGCAAAGTAATTTGGAGATAAAGAATTTGGAAACACAGTCGTTGTGCAAAGCGTATCCAGATGCAAACTAATTGTACCTAGAGTGCAGATCCTTACATGGGCTTACATCTGCTTCTAACATCAAAGAAGAATGGGTCAGCCCTCCATTTGCAACAGTTTAAAGTCCTTGTTGGTTTCACTGAAAGAGGCTTATGTTACTGATTAGAGGAGAGAAGAGGTACTTAGCTTATACACTGTTTCTGGCATCCCCCAGGATTAGAGATGTGCTATCAGATGGTACTGTTGTCAATGTTTGCATGTTTGTCACACCTCCATGACATGCTGCTGAAAATAGTTAAAAATTGAAGTGTACACCTGGCAAGTGTGAAATGCTGGTAGATGGTAAGTGTTTTTTTTACTGCACAGGTAAATGTGAAGGCGCTGTTTGCTGTCCTAGTAGGTGATAGATTAACCCAGAATAAAGGTGTCTTAATCTTTTGCTGTTTATTTTAAATAACTGCTTATTTACATGATTACACCTAGCTTTCCTTCTTTTATTTAGTTGTCATTCCTCTAAAATCTATCCCAACTTTCAAAATTTGTTGTTACATAATTCTTGAATAAGAACTATCTATACAAAGGGGAAATCGTCGTAAAAAAAAGTCGTATTACATCGATTAGAAAAAAAAAAATTACATTCTATGTTTGTTTGTGTTTTGTTAAATATGTTCAGTAGAATTTTAAGATTAGTTGAGCTGTATTTAGGCTTTAAATATAAACAAATTGTGAAATCTCATCAGCAAAGTTAAATGCAGCTGCTTTGTTTTGGTTTCTTTGGTTAGTTAATGGTAATTTCAGTCCAAATAAATCACTAGGTGATTCAAAAATGTTTGTAGTATTTTGAACATTAGTAATTTCTTTGGCAAGTAAGTGTTTTTCTGCCAGTGCTGTTAGCCACTGGTTCAGAAAGTTAATTTTGAACACAGGCCACACTGTCTTTTTACACCATCTCAGGTATGTATCGGTGGCATGTGTGTATTCTTGCAAAAACATGCCCGTTAGAAAGCTCCAGAGCCCTTTTCATCTTCGGTGTTGGCTAATGTGTTCCTGTTTATATGCTGGCAGCCCGGTGGTCGCCCTGGTAACTCATCATTAGGTGATTAATGGGGCTGTGACGAGGCTGCAGTTTAATCAGGCCCAGCGTTTGTGTTGAAACCAACGACAAGAGCAGCTGCCCTGTCAGTTGGTGTCTGCTCACGAGATGACAGCACCCGCTGCTGTGGAGGGCCGTTGTCAAATAAGCTTCGTAGTGTTATGTGTTTGTCAGTGTGTTAGTTTGAGGCAAAGGCTCCCCCCACACACACCTTCCGCCCTCTCGCTGTTCTTCAGCTCACCTTCTTGGGGCTCTGCCAATAAAGGCTAGTTCAACTTTAGATATGGTGTTCAATTTTTACTCTGTGAGGATTTAGCTTTACCTGGCTCAATCTCTTATTCCTCCCTCATTTTTCGCCCTCGCGCCTCAACCCTGCCGTCACGACCATGGTAACACTGGTGCTGATTGCCTGGCCTGAACCCTCTGGGAGCTGTAACAACTATTTCTAGTTAAATTGTGGCTGTGGGGGTTGGAGTTTAACACTGGCAGTAAATGAGAAGCCTCCTTTGTAGGTGCTTGTGTAGGTGCAGACTGTGTGCTGCTTCAGCTTTGCCCACTTCACTGTTTATGGAGAATTTCATGAGAAAGTGGTAGCTGGGTGGAGATTGCTGTAAGTGGCAGTGAACTAAGCATGGCAAATGACTGACTCTCCCTTTTTTCTCTCCCCTCCTTCACCCAGCGGATTGCTATATTCTCCCCTCCAGAGCTGTCACTTCACATTATCACAGTAGTGACTGTCAGCCAGGGCAGTGGGTTGGGATGGTGTGCAGTGCAGCAGCCAGAGTACATGCACACATAGTCAGGGAAGAGCAGAATTGAGCCTGGTGTCATCACAAATGGTCTTACCGAAGCTATTCTGGTAACTCAGTCATTGAGCTTTATGCTACGTATTTTATGCTCTAGCAAACTAGACAACTACTTTATGTGCATGAAAAACTCAACAGTTTATCCCTGAGCAATTTTGTTAGGCTATAAGTTTCACTTTCATATTCAATTTTGATTTCCTTTTAGCTCGTCGGTTTACTTTTAGCACTTGCCTTTATTTATTTTTCCACTAACTTTAAACTCTACTTTAGTATCTCTCTGAAAGAAAGGAAGAATGTTCAAGCAGGAAGCTAGAAAGTTTGTCTTTGATATCGCTGTTCCTCTAGAGCTTTCATAGTTTGGAGGGAAATACCAGCAATTACTCTGATCTCATAGAGTAAGTAGTCTGCAGAATTACCTCATCTTTAAGCTTGTATTTTTCTTTCACAAAAATAAATCCCCCTTTAACTGAAGCCAATCCCTTTACTTTAAAATGTAGCAAGTAGCATTAAGACAAAGATTACAAACTCAGACTAATTGTTCCTTTTGTTTTTATTTTTTTTACAGTTTTCCTGAAACTCTGGGGTTGTTGGTGTGGCCAAATTTTCCCTGGATTTGACTGGTAAATTCAGAATTCTGAAGCCCAGGCTCACAGTCTACCTTTCACGGAGGCCCAGCCGTGAGAGGACTGAGGAAGGCACGTGGCGGATCATGACGGCCGACAAAGAGAAGGAAAGGGAGAAAGAGCGGGACAGAGACAGAGACAGGGATAGAGACAAAAGAGAGGCTGGGAAGTCCCGCCGACAGGACGTGGACCGGGGCGACCGTGAAAGTGAGAGCTCCAGGCCTCGCCGCAGCTGTACGCTGGAGGGCGGGGCCAAGAACTATGCAGAGAGCGAACACAGCGAGGACGAAGACAACGACAATGGCAGCACTGGTGGAGGCAGCGGCACAGCCGAGGAGGCTGGCAAGAAGGGCAAAAAGAAGATGCCCAAAAAGAAGTCGCGCTACGAACGCACAGAGAATGGAGAAATCACATCCTTCATTACAGAAGACGATGTTGTTTACAGACCTGGAGGTGAGTCGTTGTCGTAGGTTATCTTAAGTCTGTTTGGCTACAAACCAATGAACACATGTTGATCTTTGTGTACATTTCACTGCATACTAATTAGAACTGTCTAACACCACACATGCTCAAATAAACTTCAGAAAACAAGAAAAGATGATCAATAATAGATTTTACTTAAGGAACCAGTCATCTGTTTGAGTTGGGCTGCAGAGAGATTGCGCATTTTTCAAAGTATCAACTCTCCTAGAGTAGAAACCCTCCCTCTGGCTAAAACCTTCATCATGCAATCAATTCTATGACCCACTCTGAGCTTTGTCTTGAGCTGAGTCAATAAAGCAAAGTGGTGCTTGACTAGATGATGCGATTGTGACGACTGCCATGATGATAATTTCATCCCAACACCATTTGACTTGCTGAAAGTATGCTTTTGTCAGTAGCACCAAAAGGTACTACATTTTCCTAGAAATGTTTTTAAACTGCAATACCTTATGTTGATTGAGTCGGATGAATGATTTAAGCAAAACCAATCTTATCTACAGCATTTTGGCTGCACTTTCATATCTTGTTGGTTGTATTACAGGCGACAAAGTCAACACTCACAGAAAGAAATCTGCCAAACAAAATGTAAATAGTGGCTGCTATGGCTTTACATTTATCTTGATATACATTTATCTTACAAATTTAACAATTTCACTAAAAAGAATGGTTCTGTTCCGTTATTTCACAGTATGTAAAAGCTAGTTAAAAGTCAAGGTCATGACGTCTACAGAACATTTCAGCCCTGTTTTATACTGAATGAAGGAACCACCTTATTAAAATTGGTTAAAAAATATATATCCATCAGGTCTTTTATTTAGTCAGTTAGTTGGTGCTTATGTTAGTTTTTGTTTAATTCTAGAGCTTGTAAAGATATTTATAAAGCTTATTTGCAAAATGAGCTTAGCACACACTGAAAGTGTTACTTTATAACCTGCCAATTTGTGCTGAAGTTAGCACAAGTGTTTGTGCTTTAGACCTGGTTCTGGGGTTTGTCCAGTGACAAGTGCCGTAATGAACCATTAAGACCAGGGTTTGGACTGTTGACAAGGATAGGATAATTTTGATTCTTATAAAAAATATAGAATCACCAGTAAAACAAAAGTATAGTGTAAAAACATTGAAAGGCACAAAAACACATTCAACAATCTTGGTGTGTTAGCCTTGCTCTGCATTTATATTTCCACATTTGACTGAACAGCACAGCCAGTGTCAGATTGACGGAGAATATTTATGTTCCTTGTCCCCTACTTCAATTAGTTTGACAGGTTTAGCGTGACTTGAATGTCGCAATCCACCCCTACCGTGAGGACTATGGTTGTTAGATCAGTTTAGATTAAAAATAAGCCTTGACTGGTAGTGACAGCCTCAGCACCCGTACACTCATTTGTAATTTACCTCCTGGCATCATCATGGAAGATCCTCCATCTCACCAGCAGACTTCCTGCTGTCTCCTCTCCTTATTGTTCTGTTGATAAGATGTGTGTGTGTGCACGCGTGCTTGTTTCTTTCCTCCTGCTTGGTCACTGGTGGTAGCCTTTGTGCAATCAGATTTGATGTGTGCAGCTTAGGCAGACACAAAGCCTGCAATAGATTATGCTTTACTAAATGTTAAATCCCTTTATAGCCGTCTAGTGACATACAATATGTAAAACTGACCACCCTCAAAGAGGGATTTGCACCTCCGTACATGTAGGGAGAAGAGAACTATGATGGGGGTTGTGCAGAAACTGAAGCACAATTTATACCAGTTGCTGTTTTGATTGCTTCTGTCACAATAAGCTCTAGACATACAGAGTCATGTCATCACATAAGAAAGAATAGGTAAGCTAGTATTGAATCCCTCCCAGTCCCTAGCCATCCTCCAATCTTTCTACTTAGCCTTTCTATCCCTTGAAAATGGTTTCAGGCAGCTTAGTGCACATTGATTGGATGGGGATGAGTGGAAAAGGGAAGTGCAAGTAACCAGTAGGAAGGCTGGCAGCTAACTCAAGCTTTGGGGCTGTTTAGAAGGTTGTAGGAGTGTGTCTGTGGTGGTGGCCAGGGAACTGTGTCCCGGACCACTTGAATGGTCTGCTGCTGTGGTGAACAGCCAGGCGCAGGGTGAGCAGACTTGCCAGATCGATCCGTGCCCTGTGGCTGAGCTTTCACCACTTCTCCAGGCCTGGTTAGACACCTCTGAGCCTGTTCTCCACACTCATCTACCCCCACCACCCTAGATTATAGATCCTCTCTTTAGAGATTATACACATTGCCAAGGGGGATCAATAAGAGACGCTGTAGAAGCATAGAGACACACATACACAAAAAAATCCATATACACATGCATAATCTGCTATTAACTCAAATTTTGCACACCAGCAATGACGCTGTTACACCAGTGCATGCATGATACACACGCTAAGAGTTCTAATGTTTCCAGTCTTTGATAGTCGCACTGCTACAGACTCAGCAGCACCATTTAATAACCACAGCACTACTCCCAACACTTGTTCCCTCCCCACTGCAGCACGACTCTGCTTGTTGTTAGTGGATGGCTACCAACTCATATCTCCTTTTCTCACCGTCAGTCTGAATGGCTATGGCAACTTTAAAATGAAGTCCTATGAAAAAGAGACTTTATTCTTTCGCCTTAGTGTTGTGCAGCAAGATATACATTTGACATGAATTTACTGACATGACGAGTCATTTTAAATTTTAGGCAGCGATTGTATAATACGAAACATTACAGACTTAAGTGAGGGGGAAAAGAACATTTTGTGTATCAGTGTTGTGGGAATTCTTCATGTGGACAGCTGGTGCTTCTTGCTCCAGACATCACAGACTGCTGGAGGGACAGTGTTTGTGTGTTTGACAAGTGCATATAAAACAAGCTGTGCAGCAGGAACAAATTTTACACACAAACTCAATATCCAATTCTCCTCCTGTCTTCTAACTATAAACTGTTAATCATGCAAACATCTTATATGATCACAAGAGCTTTATATTTTTCTCTACATCACCTAGATTTCTCATAGTGTTGTATGAAGTGTGTATTTAAGTGCAAATGATAATGTCTTCCCAACTTGATAGAGCCACATTTTATTTCACTAAAGCCCATTTACAAGCTCAAGTGTAGGAGGCTAGCACACCTCCTGACAGCTACTTTCATTCATTGCACATGTAAATATTGATAACATAATAAAAGGATCAAATATATCCTCATTTTATGCAGCATGCTTTAGAGAGAAAAGTCTTTGTATTATAATCTTTATCATCTATATGAGAAGCCTCTGAAGTGTAACTGGGTAAATGTTGAATCTAGAGCCAAGGCAACTGCCACAGCACATTAGCAATGCATGTCCCCCATGCTGCAGAGGCTAGTTGTCAATCATTTAGGAGCTTCTAGTCAAGTTAACATAAGAGACAAACCCTTGGAGTCATTTGCTGTTGAAACATGGCAGTATGAATCTGTAGCTTGTCGTTAGCGTAACAGATCTATTTTTAAAAAGCTCTCTCTGCTTTTCTATCTCTCCCTACACTACAGACTCCAGGAAAAGAGCTTTTTAGTGAAATCCAACCACCTGCCGACTGCTAAATGAGAAAGCGTGGGCTAGCCGAGAGGGAAAGGAGAGGGGTTGAAGAGGGGAGGGAGGGGGAGGGAGTGTTGTCAAAGAGACTCTGTTCTCCCCTAGGAGCTCAGTCAGCTGTAGACTTGCCCTATTGCGGGGAGCTGATAGTATTGCTTGCCAGGTATTTCCCATTGCTTTTCTAGTGAGAAGAGCTGAGACTTGTTGGACTGGTGGAGGGTGTAGAGGAAGGAAAGATGAGGAAGAATCAAGTGTCCTTGCACCTTTAGGCCTTGACTGCATGTAACACCATCCTACTGGGACCAACCCAGTGGGAGGTAGCTGTATGCAGCCTTGGTCATCAGCTGGTCTTGCTCACAAACACTGCTGGAACCTGTAAACTTGTAACACTAGTTTTTTTTTTTTTTTTTGGGGGGGGGGGGGGGGTTGTGGCCCTTTGGGCCTCTCAGACCACCATGCTTTTGTCACGGCATTTAATTTTAGGATTAGTACTCCAGAGAAGAGACAAGTTTGTCCAAAGTCGCACTTGACTACTGTGTGTCTGTGCATGTTTTTCAGTTTGAGCCCAGCACTACTTTTAACTATGCAGGTGCATCCTGCCTCATGACCAACTCTCACCGCCTGCAAGCATGACTTAAACAAACACTCCTTTTGATTTAGTAAGCTTGTCTTGTATCCTAAAATATTCACACACGCCCTCCCCTTTCCGACAGCACTGTTTACTAAACACAGGCGTATATGGTCGTGTTCACGTTGCTCATTGTTGTTGACTTGTAAGAGAAAAGCAAGCCGATAATATCCAAGTGCTCCCCCTCCCTCCGTCTCTCCCTATCTTTCTGCTGGAACGCTGCAGCAAATTAAACGACATCTTTGAACAACGCACGATTCTTTTGCTGAGGGAAGGTGTGTTTTAGATTAGACATGCTTGGCAGCCTTAAAAAAATGGAAGGCTTGAGTAAGAGTTACAACTGAAGGAAATATTGAGTAATTTTATGTGTGTCGTGAGGTTATATCAATCAAGAATTCAATGGAGACGGTAACTGGAGTAACTCTGTCCACTGGGATTGCATTTCATTGAGGTGTTCCAGTCTAAGAAACTATACTCAGTGGCTTCACAACTGTCTCCCTTTCATCAAAGTATAGAGCTCCTGGTCTTTGTCTGGGTGGCATGGTAGTAAGTCATGGATTGTGTAAGAAATTAAACTTACTGCTGCTGAAGTAATTAGAGCACATCTCTGCAAATACCTTGCTATGGTTTCCCTCCTCTCACATTGAAGGCTACATCCAAGCAGCCAGCACTCACTTCAGTCTTCAAAAAAAAAAAAAAACTACCCATCCCCCACGTAGACCCTCACCACCGCTAAACCCCTCTCCTCCCTCCTCTTTCCACTTCTCCACTTGTGCAAGGAGACCCTCTTCCAAACACACAAAATAGCAGGAATGTTTAACAAACTCGACAGACTCTCGAGGAACCAGGATGCCCATTTTAACCACCTTACCCCATGTAACCTTCCTAAGCTTCGTTGGCTCCATTTTCAAAGAGCAGATGTTTCAAGTTTAGTTTAACTTTACATTCACAACGTTTTACATCTTAGTCGCTTTTGAAAAAATGTCCTTGAGGTAGAAGACTTTTAGTGCCTGAAGTGAATTCAAAATGCTTTTTTTTGACGCTCGAAGAATAGACTTGCTTTTCTGTCTGTGAATGATTAAACTAGATCCCTGTCCCCCCCATCTTTTCCACCCACCCCTCCGCCATCATCGCCTATCTTTTTCATTCTCGCTGTCTGTTCTTTGTGCCTGTTGATGTGCTCATGGGTGTAGACACAGAGATTTGGCTTCTCTAAATGAATTTGCCGCCAAGGTGAGGGGACACTAAACTCGGTAATTCCCCTGATTTGACTCCTCTGAAACATGTCATCTCCTTCAGATTAGTCTCTTTTGTTCTCTGCCCACCCCCCACTCTCTCCGTCCTGCTCCCGCCTGCTCTTTTCCGAACAACTTCTCTTCCTCTCACAACACACACACACATCGATACACACACACCCTGCGTAGTTCACAGATTGCACAATAGGACCAATGGATATTTTCATTCATGTTATCTTGTAAATGACTTCCAGGGATGCTGTAAAGGGGGGAGAAAGGGGGTGGGGGAGGAGGAAAGAGGGCACTAGTGAGAGAGATATAATGCGTCACTCAGACCCAGCGTGGGTGATAACCCCCTCTCTCTCCCCCCACCCTTTAGAACAGCTCATTCAGCTCACAGCAGATAACAAGCCCACCCTGGGGGACACACACACACATACATGCGCACATGCACACACATGTCTCAAAAAACAAAGACAATGATGTCAGAGGCGCACTTGTACACACCAGCACCTCTACAAATGGTATCTTGGGTGTCAAGGCCATTTAATATCTTTCCCAGGCCTCTTTTCCTCTGCAAGCGGTAAGATAAACCACAGCCAGATCGATAACTGTGTTGACACAAACAAATAAATAACAGATGATGGCCATGTCAGTCACTGGAGAAAGGAAAAAAGGTAGCTACAGATCTTTTGTTAGGGAAAGTGTGGCTCGGTTCTGCTGCATGAAGCGGCTCAGCATGTGCTGCGGTGAAATGAGCACCAGTAGTTTGTGTTGTCTGTAAATTGTACCTATGGTGGTATTTATTTATTTATTTATTTCCTATTAGAGCATACAACACTGTGAGATGCAGTTTCCTTTCATAAGTATTAATAGCTGCAACACACTGTTTTTACTAAATGGTTGAAAAAATTGACACCATGAAATATTTTGTCTGAGTAGTAGCCATTTTCTTAATGTTTTAATTTAAAAAATGTCTTTTCAGGTTATTTTTATTTAGTTTTGCTGCTGTTGTTGTTTTTAACAAGGAAAGCTATTATTTGAGCCGATTTAATAATTTTGTAGTTTGATTACATTTAAGTCGTGTGCTTTTAAATTATCTTTTTTTTTTAACAAGTCTATTAATACCTGTCTGTGTCTGGAAAGTGCTTGCCAGGCTTAGCAGTAACCATTAGCCATTTCCCCTCCCTCCTCCTCTTTTCCTTCTCCACAGAAGTGGCTGTGTGTTTTTGTCTTCTGCAGCGTGAATGTTTTTGTTAAGGAGATGAGAGTTCATGACCTGGCCATACCACCAGTCACATTCAATTTTAACAACACAGCCAGCCACAGCCTCCACTTCTCACATAATGTTACAGGGCTGCTGCTGACATCATTAAGCACCATTTTAAAAATGAATGAGACGGGAGGGTGGACCACTGTGAGCTTTTTTTTTTTTTTCATTCAAGCTCATTTAAAGCTAATTGGACAAATGATAAAGTGGTAAGATACATTCTCCCCACTATAAAAATGTTATAAAAAAACATTTTAAGTTATTATTTCAACCAGTTCTAATGTTACAGTTCAGTTCAGTATTGTTTGACTAGGACGGTGCCCATGTTTATTCAGAGCCAGTGTTTAGTTTTGCACCAGCTCTTTTCCAGTCAGCAACCAAATATCTTGCTCTTGGCATGAAAAACTGGTTTCAAAGTCACCCCAAGCTCTTGCCAGACTAAAAACCACAAAGTGGTAATTGATTCAAAGTAGCATTATAAAGCCACAGAGGCCATTCTTAGTTTTTCTTGATTTTAGTACAATTATTTAATATTTCTAGTCTTTGTTTATAAATGCTGCTTGCAAATAACAGTTCACTGATTAAAAAAATATTTAGAAACAAGCAATCATAAACTATTTTTTATGACTGCAAAATCTTGGCTTTAAAGTTATTATCAAGACCAAATAACTGCTTGCTAACTTTGTCTGCTGTTAGCATCAAATAGAGCTGGACGATATGGCCAAAACTTTTATTGCGATATATTTCTTAAGTTCGGTCGATAACAATATTATTCCGATATCGATATAAACAATATAAAAGCCTCAGAAAAACTGCACAAACTGTACAAATAAATTAATGTTCACCTTTTATTTGTATTTAGCCATAAAAGAAATTTGAAATCACCATCAAATAAACACAAAACTCTCAACTTTGTCAATAGTAATAGTTTTAACTTTAAACAACAACATAACCCATGCAGCAAACTTCTCTAGCACATTTTGCAGCACACTGAAACCAGCAGTTTATCGGATCTTAGATAGCCAAACCACGTCCACACGGCTGAATTAGTCTTTCGTCTCTTATCAGTTATGTCATCTGCTTTCTCTTCGCTTGTGAAAGCTTGTTCAGTCACATTCTGACGGTCATGGGAACTCGTCTTGAAGCGAAAACTTAACGCGCGTTTGAGCTTAGCCTAGCTTAGCCTAGCTTAGCCTGCTACCGCTGACTCCTTCTGGACACTTACATAGTTGTGTCGCGGCTTTTTCCGTTCGGGTTGAAACTGAAGCGGCCGCTTCAACCTGAACAGAAAAAGAAATGTGTCGGTGAAACGCTGTAATCATATCGTAATGTATATCGAAATATCCAAAATGTGCTTAAAACTCATATCACTATTATTGAATAAAAGTATATTGTGATATATATTGATATTGAGTTATTGTCCAGCCCTAGCATCAACCTTTGGAAAAAAAACAACAACAAAAAAACAGTTTTATATGAATATGGTTGAACAGCATCACATTTTCATCTCTATAAGCACAATCAAACAAAGATCATATAAAAGACTAAACACCTACAAATTTAACATTGCCATTTAAAATGAAGTAAAGTGTTAATTAAAAATGTGAGTGAAACTGTTTTGCAGACGATGAGTTTTAAAATATACCCAAGCGTCTTTGCAGGTTTGGTCTCTCCATCATGGACTCCATGCTTGTGACCCTTCAGTGAAGAGTCAGAGACAGGATGAGGTTAAAGCCAGTATTGCTCACTGGTGTATAAATGGAGTGGAACAATAACATAATTCCCCTTGGCCATAATGTTTGCTTTGGAAAGGCAAACTTGTAGTGCTCCAAAAGTCTTTAATCCTATTACTCACATTCCAATTGAATTTGACTCAAGGAGGAAAAATGTATTTTCCGCTGAGGTAACAACACAAAAATATGACACCGAGTGTGGCTGCTTAAAATAATGAATGCTCTGATAAGTGTGAAAAATCATCTCTAAAATACTCCTTTTTATTCTCACTTGCAGATTGTGTGTACATAGAGAGTCGGCGGCCCAATACTCCGTACTTCATTTGTAGCATTCAGGATTTCAAGCTGGTGAGTAAAATTGTAGCTGTTTACTGTTATTTTTCTCATGTTGCTTTGTTGCCATGCTTGCCCAAGACTCTGTGCGAGCCAATTCAGTCCCATGCTGAACAATGCTCTGCTGTTCCCCCAATAAAGAAAAATGAAGAATTAAAGTACTAGAGCTGCATCTGCACTTGTCTAAAAATCCCTCCGAGAGTCTGAGTTATATATATTACCTGCTCGTGCAGTCCACTGTCTGTCATGTAATAATACTTATAATGAAAATATAGATGTTTGTAGATGTCCTGAATTGATTTAATGAAAGGGATCCTCACCAGTTTTCAATTGATTTTTTTTACAACATAATGTGACCAAATTACCTCTTTCCCTGACTAAAAAAAAAAGAAATTAGTTTTTAATTTGCTATGAGAATGGCTGATTCATCAGCATCAGGCTCAGTCAGTTTAGTGAGAAGGGGCTTGTTTTTCCCAAGCAACAGGACACTTAAATTGTATCACAGACACACACATACACAGAGTCGTAATTGATTTTCTCACACTGCATTCTCCACATTTGTGAAGGGGAAGTTGCTCTGGAGTTCACCACAACAGATTTGTCTTTGTTTCTGTAGATGAAAAGGGATGCAGCTTCATGGTTTGAGCGATCCAGATCTTTTGCTTCACGGCAGCTGAATGACACACCGCACATGAATCACAATCATTTCATGGCCACATGCACACAATATGTTTTTTCAATTATGGCACAGAATGATCTCAGACCTAGCTGTTTTGATTCTATTGGCATTGATCATTTTATTTTGGTTTTACGTGCATAGGATTGATTCTTAACTGATCAAATGTTTAGTTCAGAGTAAAGTCTTAAATGAAAGATTTCAGTTTTTAATTTGTCTTTTGTGTAGGTTTCAGCAATATGTTGGTTGAGCTATGAGCAATGTACATGTCTTTTTAATGGCTAAAAATGACTGGAATAAGTAACTGATAATGTTCATGTTGCCAAATAAAGGTGCAGCTAAGCTGTTGTGAGAATTGTCTGTCTTGTAAGAGATTGGCTGTTTAATCAGAGCACAAAACACTTGCTAGGTTGCGTCTAAGCCCCAGGGCCAAACTAATTGCTGCCAAAAGCCACAGTCGGCTCCGTTGTCACCTAAACAGCTTTTTCAAAAGGTGAAACAGTAACTTAATGTTTGTTTGTGTATGCACAAGCGATCATGCATACTAATGTATGTTTGTGTGTGTGTGTGTGTGTGTGTGTGTGTAAATCCTTTTGTGAGTGATGGGCAGTTGTTGAGGTTTTAAGGAGAGCTGTAGGCCGTTCTGTCGTGCCCTACAGCAGTGAGGTTTTAATCGGATTTCAGCTAGAGAATGCTGAGGATGGCAAGAACCCTTTTTTTTTTCTTTCTGAAGATGTAGTCCCACACGAAAAAGCCCCACACCTTCGTTGTGTTTAAGCGCGCTCAGTGAGGCGTGGGGCCGACAGAGGTGATTGTCCAGAGAGAACGATGGGAAACTAGCTGCGTTAGCTGGCCTCTCCCTTCAGCTCTCTGTGTTTGTGTCTCTGTTACTCCCTCCCCCAGTCCATCTGTAATTAATGACCAGCCATCTGCATGCTTGTATGTGTATGAGCAGACTGCACCCTTGTCTTCTAATGTTAAAACAACAAGCCCCGCTGGCTTTCTAAACAAGGACAGTGTTTTTTATTGAGCTCACTTTGTCACCGAGCAGCAAATCACAAAAGCCTGCTACTGTACTGGCTGCACTGAATACTCCTAATCTTTAGTAGTCTAGCGTAAAATATTTGCATTAGTATTGTAGATTCACATGTTGGCTGTCTCAATTCAAGTCTGTGATGCCACCCCACAGTCCAAACTTAGTTAGAGACGTGTGTTTAAGGGTTCTCATATGCCAAACCAACATCAAGAACCGGCGGTGATCTTCTGCTGTGTCCCCTGCCTGAATCTGGGGAACACTTGAACACACTGCCTTTATAGGAAGCCATACCCTAGTGGATCAGAATAGACAAGGAATCAAAAAATATGTGTACATATAAATTATTACATTTGTACATTTGTTTTATTATTTTCAAACTCAAACATGTGATTTGTTTAAACAATAGTTGTTTTTTTGTTTACATGAATACCTTTTCCTGAGCAGGTTTTATACATTAAAACACTACAAGTCTCACATTAAAGTATTCTGTTCATTCACTGCAGTAAGCTAATCAAAGTGATCTTTCCTGTTGACAGACCCCGTGCCCATTTAATATATTAAACTGGCTGAAAAGTGGGGAGCTGACTGATCTGACGGTGTGTTAAGCACAAAAAAAGACAAAGCTGTTTATAGATGTTTCAGACAGCTGACTCGCTGCTTGGTGTATTTGGTCCCTTTGGAATAAAAATAAGTGTTTGCAGACATAATGACTGGTGTCATCTTACGCAGTGATATATTAAAAAGGAGCTGCAAAGGGCAACTTGTGATTCATGTAATGAAACCGCACATTATTCTTTTTATTTCTCATCTTTCCTCACCTCTTCCTCCAACCTCCACCTGTTCTTGCCACACGAATTATTGATCACACCCCCTCTATATGTGGTGTAATAGAGCTTTGGAGGCACAGTATAGGGGAGGAAAAATTTTATTGGTCCTGAACCCAACAACCTCATCAATATTGCCCCTCTCGCACCCTTCTCCATTTTCTTGTCTACGTACGTGCCCTAGTCTTTAAGCTGGAGCAGTCTCAATTGTCTACTTTATCTAATGACCTGTGAATCCAATTAGTGGCGTGGAGAAAACCTGAATGCTGCCATCAATCTCTTGTGTGTGGATAGGAGAAAGAACTGAAGCCTGCCTGTTTTTTTTTTTCTTTCTGCATTTTTTTGTGCGTTTTCTCTACACTGGAGGAATTCTGAGCCCAGCCACGCTCCAATGATTTGGTCTCGTACACAAACTCACACTTCCAGCAATAAGGCATGCAAAACAAAAAAGGAGAACAAAATCAATTCAACATCATGACTGGGGTCATTCTTGACTCAGAGGACAATCATTCTCCCTAGCTTGTTTACTCAACAGTGGCAGCTGTGGTGCCCACGACAACCTCTGTGACATATTGATCCAGTCTTATAGATTTCAGCCTCCTGTCTTCCTACTAAACGTGTCTGCCCAGATACAGAAATGACCACTGGAAGGCCATTATTAAAACGGTTTTAAATAAAAACAAAATGAGCAGATTCTTATTTTTGATAAACTGCCGCCTCTGTATTCAGTTTCTGTCATGCCCTTTTACTAAAATCAAAAAATGGGGAGTTAGTTTATTGGGGACTGCTTAGCAGCCACCTATTATTATCCACCTGACAAGGGTTTCTTAACTTTATATCTTACTCTTCCATCAACTTTAATGCGGCCCGAATGTGTACCCCGACAAATGTTATATCAAAACAACCGGCTCGGCACCGTGATGTGGGCTGTTACTTTTATTGGCATTTCAAGTTACCATGGTGACATAATTTGCAAACAAAGACACCATTTTTTTTGGTCATTTTTTTATAGACTCTGGTTGCAAATCAAATATCCAAGATTGCCACCCGAGTTAAAAAAAGAAAAACACTGTAAATCAGTCACTTTTAGAGATATTAAGCTGAAATTTGGTGTGGTGGTAACTGAGAGCAATGGCCAATAAATAATGAATGCAAATAAATTCAAGAAGGCCGCCAAAGCTAACTTTAAATGGCTTTAACTTTAGCTAAATGTAGCTAAAATAGTTTTAACTCAGCTGTTTTTACACAGAGATCTGAAATTTGGTGTGGTTATAGCTGAGAACGTTCCCCATCACATACTGAATCCAAATCAAAAATCCAAGATGGCCACCATAGCTTTAAAAAAAATACTTTATCTCATTGATATTTTGCAATTTTGAGCTGAAATTTTGTGTGGTGGTAGCTGAGAACAAACTCAGACACATAGTACTGTCAAATCATAATTTTAAAATGGCCACCACGTTGCAGTCCCCATCAAAGTTTCTCCGGGCAGGAACTGTCTAGTTACCATTATTATGCTAGTCGTGCAAATGCTTTAAAAACACCAGCTTAGTTATTTAAAAGAAACTATTGGAAAGAGTGTTGTAATTTTAATAAAAAAAAAAGTAATTATTCAACTTTATAGTAAGCTGTCAAATATACACACAGAATCGTAATAAAGATTTGCATTTGAGTCTCTTTGATCTAATAAGTAAATTACAGGCTATCTGTAGTTCAGTGTGTTTTTCCCACTAGAGCCATTTCAGTTTATTGTTATTGAGATAGTTTTGTTACTTGTTATCAATCCATATTTGATTAGATTAAAACAGCAGAAGCGCATGCGTGTGCCACTGTCGTTTGTCATCTTTATATTCTGGTTGCACAACATATAATTGTGATATTTATTTATTTAAATGATTGCATATTTACTCGGAGCAAATAATGCACCCAAAGAAACGTGTGAATTGCTTGTTGAGAACACAGAGACAATAAAGCAACTATGTACTCAACAGTCTGCGGCCATATCTTTCCACTGACCCTGACTTCCCCAATCAATCTTGCTTTTCTTTCCTTAGTTGTCTCCTCTGTCTCCATTTCTCTCGCTCTCATCCATCTGTCTCTACACTTCATTCCCCCCTCGTCCCCTCTCCTCTTTATCTGCTGTCACTCACCTATCTCCCTCCTCCCATCCCGTGTTCAAGTCATTGTGTCCATGTCCTCAGTGCTCATTGACCCTCCTGCCTCCCCCCTCTGCTTATAACTAACCTCATTTGCTGTTATTGGCCAAGTCGGTTGTGTTCAGTCCTCCTTCGCCGCCCTTTCTTCCCCCACATCCTTCTCTCCCTGTCTCACTCCCTCTTTTACTAATGGACTGATTGCAGCATTTCTCCCTCTGGGAACAAGGGATTGAGGAGCTCTGTACACCATCACACACCCACACACATTCTCTTTGCCACTGTTAGGCTTTACACGTTCACGCACAAATCTCCACCCCAGGATC